TTTCTAATTAGCTTATACTAAGATGTTAGGAACTCTTCATACGTGTGCTTAGACACACAAACTCTCACACACAGGAGTACGTAAAATGCATTTGAAACTGGAGTAAGCATGTGGGTTGTTCTGAAAGACTGCAAGATATTGAGTGGATACTGTGTACGTACTGTATATGTGGAATTTGATGTGCTCTGTTCATTAGAACTAACTTTAATGCTTAAAAGAAAAGTAAATTTCCTCCATTACAACATGTAACGTGTACCTGTATCACAATTCTTTTGATTTATATTTCATAGTGGCACTATATTCTGTCAGTTGTATGTAAGCGTTAACTATTAAATAAAGGAATCTCTGCTGTCATAATCTGTATTCAAGTACCATGATTAGACTCTAACTACTTCTTGAATAAAGAAGCTCTGCGCAGCACAGCACCAACTACACAAATACAGTTATAGTTCAGTCAGCATTTTTTGAAGAGCAGCATCCCCAGTCTTGCCACTTTTGTCCCAAATACGATTAGGAATCACCCAACAATATCATATGCCCTGTAGAGTAGCTTCATGACAGAATCACAGGGGCTAGGTCAAACCCCCGCTAAAGAAGGCTCCCTACAAGAGGTTGCACAGGAAAGCACGTGGATGGGTCTTGATGAAGTATTATCTTTTCTAACAGCCTCATCATTAAAAACTTTTTATCTGAAGTGAGACATCTGTACCATCTGCCGAGGAAAATAAAGTCCACATTTATGTCTCTTTGATGACTCGGTATTCCATGGTCATTTTGGGTAAGGACACATGATTTGCCTCCCTTCCACTGGAGCTGGGACATTGCACAGCAAAGAAATGAAGAATAACCAGGTTAGAGAGAAAGCATAAATTTTAGTCTTATTCTCATTTGAAACAGGGAATACTGTACGTCAGTTTTTGTTTTCAATATCATTTATGCAGTTTATCTAAAGATTGCTTCAAATTAAATGTAAAGAGTCTTTGAGACATACAGGTTTTGGTTCCTTGTGCAGTGCTGAAGATATAAAGCCTAAAATTCAAAGTCCACACTTCTCTTGTCTTACCATAGTGAGTCCTAAATTCTTCAAAAGGAAGATTTTCTTCAGCTACTCCAATTGCTTATGAGATGAGAGGATTTACTTTTTAGAGGGACAACCCTCTCAAGCTGTGGGAATCATAGCCTACTAACACAGATGACAGATGCAAGCAGGACCATCAACATCCCCAGCACAGTGCCTTAAAAGAGTGAACACCATTCTGTTCTTTTAAAAAATTATCATGGGAGTCTTTTACTGTTGGATTCAGACTGGTGAAGACAAATGTCTTCAGCTGAGGGTTGAGGCAGCTCAGTGCCACAGGTTAGGATATTTACTGCAATTTTTTTCCAAGAATATTCCCCAGTCAACATGCTGACATTTCAGACCAGATGCTGAAGCCGTCCCATCTCCCATGAGTTGTACAGAGAGTCTCTGGACACCATTTACAGGGCAGAGATTTCTACTTTGCGGGGGAACATCTAAAGCTGGATGAAGCCTCATTGAATTTTCAAGTTGTACCTCCATTACTGCCTGTAGCTTTTAATGTTCAGTTAATGGAGGGAAAAAATGTTTTCCTAGTTACTTAGAAGAGATTTGTCAGCTATAAAAGCACACAGGGACAACTGATAAAAAAGGTAAATCCAAGAAAATGTACTTCAAATAGATTATGAGGCAACAAAGTCAACACAGGAGGACATGTCAGAGGGACAGCTCATATTTGCTAATGCCATATGTGTGAGCTGCTAAATCAGAGCTGCTGAATCTGGCATAATAGATGAGTGTATCACTTTCAATAAACACTGAGAAAGACTTTGTTTCATCTTTCACATCACACATTGCAAAATCACCAATGGATATAACCAGGAGGGTACATGCTGATTCCTTAACAAACGCATCACCATTTTACATCAGCTTTGAGGGACTAAGTTGAATTTGGCTTTATTTCTTCTGCTTGTGGTGACACTGTAGCACTCAGTACCAACACAGTGTTAGAGAAGAACCTTAGAGAAAAAAAATGTTCAAAAACGCATCTTAGTAGAAAAAGATTTATCAGTAAGAACTGAAAGGAAGTGTGTCTTTCGTTCATATCTCAAGACTGATTTTTACATTTATCTACTTCCGCATACATCTTGGATCTAGAGAAACAGTTATCCTGATAATATTATATGAACAGGACAACCTCTTATTTTTAAAAAAGAACTTACGGCAGCCTGAGAAATCATATAAAACTCAGTGCCACGGAATTCTAATTTTCAGATATTTAGCATCATATCTAAGCAATATTTCTACCACTTAAAAGTAACTCTGAAAAAATGGTCGTATCTCATACATTCACACTAAACCCTTGGATGAAGATTATTTCATTTCAACAGTGCTGATCCCAAAAAGCAAATTTTACCTCACAGACTTTCAGTCTTCATTCTGCGTCTCCTTATTACAATAGTAAAAGTTTTATGAACTCAAATGATGCTATTAAGAAGGGAAAATTAGCCGAAGCTTCTCTGGACTTATTCACAAGACCAGAATATTCACTTCTTTGTCCCATAAACTCTGGCTACACATGAAAATAAAACATTAAAGTGCTGGTCCAGAGCCAAGTTGCCCAAATACATAAAAGCTGCAAATAAACTACAAAGCAAGCTGCTGCTGGAAGACATTAGCACTGCCCATGTAAGGGATCCATGACACTGCTGCCCAGCGAAGAACTACGCCCATTACTAGCGGAACTAATCAACTTCTCCAGAAACATGTACAAGCCATGCCTTTAGAATAGAGTATCTTGACCTTTCAAGAGCCAGTATTTCACTTTCTAGTCATTGCCAACAACATGGAAAGAAGGAAAACTACTGTGGAAGTATTAAAGAAAGTTCAGCAATGCAACATCGGTCATCTGTCAAACCTTCACAGTCTCAGAGAAGGCCACTGACCAAAGACTGCCCTGGATATTCCAGTTACATACTCCATGGCCCCAGCACAAATAAAATGACCTCCATGTTGTTCCAGAAGATCTTTGTAGTGATTTCAATCCAGTGGCCCACAGAAGAAGACAGTTTTCAAAGAACAGAAATAAATATATTGGAACATGTCATGTGGCTCTGGTAAAAATCACAGAGAGCAGTCAGTGTGGAGGAGGAGCTTCTCTCCTCTGCAGATGCCAAGAGTTTACACTCTCCCCTTTTCAGCATTTATATAGGAGCACCACCAAAACAGATGGAGAGGCAGCATATCCCCACATTCTAACTGTGTGATCATGATATTCAGCACTTTGTTGCTTTCTCTTTATAGCTTTCAACAAATACATAATTTTTATAATGACATAATAATTGGGTCACAAATAGGAATAGGGCTGCACAACAGGGAAACAGAACACCTGCAGTCAAGCCTTCCACAAGCAGAGAGTTACTTTAGGGTGAAGTGAACTCAATGGGAGACGCTGATAGGGACTAGAAGAGCAGCCACCACTGGTGGTCAATCACTCTGAATGGTAGCATAAGGATTTAGATTTAGTAGCATTATCACAATGCATGCTGCTTCTGCTGTATTTTGAAGGGATGCAGTCTCGACTGCTTTACTATGCTGTGTTGAAGTCAGTGTTATCTATGTGAGTAACAGCCAGATTAGTCCTTGATCTTAAGGTTGATGTATGTCTATTTTCTGAAGCCAAAGAGTAGGCATTAAAATGCTCTCTCAGTCAAAGGGATGCCAGCCCAGGAAAGCAAGCAGCAGAACATTATGTGCCCAACAAACTTTAGCAATATGAACATGAGTTGTCTAACAAATCTCAGGGATTTTGTTGGGATTGTTCACCTGGACCCAGGCTTAAATTCATCCCAGGTGGCACTTCTGGCAAATAAGCATTCATTATTTTTTAATCTGGCTCTGTGTTTCTTTCTCCTTTAAAACGATCCTGACAAACAATCTATATGTCTGTGACCTCCACCCTGGATTACTATAACTCACTACGTGATTGAAGATGAACGTGTGGGTGAAATACGGGCTCCAGATGTGATTGCTCATCTTTTCCAGCACTCACATCACTGAAGAGCGAAAGACCTGCATTCAAGACTCTTCAAAAGCTCCTAAGTTGTTTCTAAAGCAAAACCTGTAAAGAACTAAGGCATTTTAGGTTATTCTATGATTCTATGACTTTAGGTTTTTCATTCTCACAATGTAATAGGTACCCTGTTTCAGTGCATAGAGGGAGAGTTCAGAGCCTTAGAACTCTAAACCAAGCAGGCTGGTTGCTGAAAAGCCTACAGTGCATTACACACTAGGACATATCTGCAAACCTCCAGGGTTTAAAGGTCTCTTAGAGCCGAAGTCAGGAATTCTTCTAGGGAGTTATGATATAGATGTCTAGAACTTTCAGAGAACTGAGCAGAGGTAGCTCTTCTAATCTATACTCTATATGCTGCGTAGATATTTTATTTGACACAGAAGTTGTGATAGCAGTGCAACCAACCACTTTTATTTAAGAAATTCATAGTTGGTTAGTTACTGAACAAGTGGACAATTCAATTCCCAAACTGGCCTACAATTAATGATCTCATCATCGTCTTGAAAGAAAAAAAAACAACCTTTTCTGCTTTTTTCTTCGTCATCTTTCTGGTCTCAGGAATCCTGAATTCCTTCCTGGACAGTGACACAAATTCAGATTGGTTAGGAAGTATGTTCTTTTTCATCCCCGTGGTTAGATTCACTGGTTAGGGCATCCCCAAAGAAAGTGTATTTGAATCTCCTCAGGCTGATCTTCACCTCTCATCAGTGGTTTAGTCTGGATTTCAGGCCAATTTTTAAAAGGGGTTTGCAGAAAAACTACTTTTTTTTCCCAACTGTGACTTCACTTTCAATCTTCAAGGAGCTCAGTCTTGCTCACAGGATCTTGGATGCAAAACACTCACCAGTCTGCATCAGAACTGGGCACTTTAGCCTAAAATGAGCTTATACTGTGTACACACAGAAACAGACTGAAAGGGGAAACTTTACTGATAAAAAAATTGTTAAATATTCTGAAAGAATTCTGAAAAAATCTACACAAAATCAGTAACAGTACTGATGTTTCAAATTGAAAAATGACAATATTTTCATGGAGCATTTCAACAGTTTATAGATATAAGGCTTTTCTTTGCTTTTGTCAATTATAGATCTAAAAATGACAAAGCAGTTCACTAGCATCTTGCTGAACTAGGACATCTTAACAGTAAAGTATCACCATCACAAGAGCACAGAGAAATATTACAGATGCTTCTCACTGTGTAAGCAAGTCCAACTGAGTAGTAATATCCTCAGAAATTAATGGAAAATGTCAACTCATAGAATATAGAAGAAAAAGTCCAGTTGTTTAATGAGACCATGGACAAAATTTTTGCCCATTCTATATTACTACTACCCTGAATGACAGTTGAAAATCTTGCCAGTTTTTAATTGCTTAATATAATTAGGTTTTAATACAGTTGACAAAAAAAAAAAAAAAAAAGCAACTACAACAAATTTAACATATGTAGCAAATAAGAAAATTTGCATCAGATTTGGAGGATCTGGAAGGCTGCCATTAACCATAAAGTCTTGGAACAAGATAAAGTCATCCATATATTTAACAGATGTTAAACAAAACACAATAACAAAAGTGCTGTATCTAAAAATTTCTTACGGTGAATTCTGATCTGGATCTGTGTTCACAACAGAACTGAGTTGACAAACGAAAAATATAGACTCAGATAAATAAAACACATAAGAGAATGGCCACACACACTGTGGGATCTCATAAACTACTGCAAATATTTGTATTGCTCTAAAAGTCATCTTGATTAAAAGTTAACTATGTATTCACTGTTTCCAACCAGTTCAACCGAAAAAAACTCAAAAAACAAAATTCAACTTAAAGCATGATAAAATGATCTGCTGTTCATACAGTTTTCTCACCTGTGTAAGTACCAAACATAGCATTCTTTATGACAGTCATTTATTTCATACTTATTTATAAGACAATTTTCAACAAGACACTACAGTATGGAAACTCTTTCCATAACAGAAAGTTATATCTGGTTTCTATTTTAGTTCTTTGCTGAAATGGTTTTCTTATATTTGGTTTCTTGATATATGTGTCCTTGGTCAAGGTAGATGACAAATGTAATTGCAAAGAAAATCCGTTTACTTGATAGTTCTAGAATTGAAGGAAGCTTGTGCAACCTTTGAATTCGTTTTCTTGTTCAAAGCTGTACAGATGAAGTTTCCAGCTTCCATCACGGTATAAAGATTGACTCCCTGAAAAATAGAAGTAAAAATCATTAATAATAATAAAAGCACACACACTGGAAATGCTTAAATGTCATCTTATTTTGCTCCAGGGTCTAATTTTTGGAAAGGGTCTGACTCATATGTCATTAATGGAGTTCAGTAAGGTTGTGGTGACTTGCACAACAATCACAGCTTCCTGTTGGTGAAAAGTTCTACCACTATCAGGGTGATCTCTTACTCTAATGGTAGTGAACCAAATACTATAGTAATAAATTTCGAACACAAAAGAATCTGGAATAAAGAATCAGAATAATAACTAGAAGTTGGAAGAAAAATACATTGTCTAAATATGTGCTGCAATTGCTTATCATCAAGCGCTGAAAAACTTGATGTTTGTAAGTATTCCATCTGCATTTCAGGAAAATGGAGGAAATCTATTGGCAAATAACATCAGTGAGAAACAGGATTCTGCATTCTCTTGAACAAATAAAGCCTTCTTGAAAAAGTTCCCCTCAGTGCAAAATTGCAGTTTACACTGGTAACCCAACTGAGCAAAAACCTGCAGCTGCTAGATCGGTCCTAGCTAAAATGGTCTCTTGAGCAACTCATGTACACTTGAAGTTTTAGAGTTAGATTGTATAAATAATTCAAGCTCTTGCACCGAAGACTGGGAATTAGAAACCGGTAAAGCCAATAGAAGGGATGCAAAACAAGACATTCAACTGCCAATACACTAAGTAGCTACACAAAACTGGGAGTAGTGAGTCAGTCAGCACTAAAGAGTGCAAGACTTATTACACCAAAAAGACATTCTCATAATATTGCACTTTATACCAAAACCTCATTTAGTTGCTTAGAATTTTTAAAAGATACTTTTCCAATACTAATCAGCACCACCTCAAACTTATTGTTAATTTTTAAAGAGTTATAACAAGGGTAATTTCAGCTCATTCTGTTTTTATTTCTTTGGTCATTTCCCAGCTTTAGTTTGTAGAATACTATTGTACATAACAGTCTCAAAATTCTTAAGAGCATCTGTGCTTTTTATTAGGAAGAAGCAAGGTACATTCCACCACAGACATACTTAGTGGTTAGGTTATGTAAGATGCCAAAATAAGAAAACAAAACTATACAAAAATCACATTTTCAGCACTGTAACACCGAATAACATGATACATGTTGATAAGGAACATATTTACATTTCATAATCACTAAATGGAACACAAGCATATCTGCCTTTTAAATTGTCACTCTTATGTGTCATGAACCCAAGTGGATTACAGTGAAGGCACAAATCCCAGCATCTAAAAGCATAGCTCACAGATGGATGTAGGAAAAGAGCAGTGACAGATATTTGTAACGTTGTTGAGTCAAAATAATGTCTTCAGATAGATGCTCAGACATGTACTCAGGTGTATTTGGTAAGCATTTCGTATATTCAGAATTATTCTATGCTACCATGAAACACAGAAACAAGTTTCTCCAATAGCATCGACGAGCATGAAAAAGTTACTTCCATCAGAAAAGCATCTGCCAAAAAGCACAGTTCTTTAACTCTTGCTGAGTTCAATTAAGTGGTTCTCATTCAGCACTCATAAATACCAAGTCTATTATCTGTATGAACTTCGGTTTCATTGTCAGGATATGAGGGTAACAGTATTTAGTCACTTCTGAGAAAGGCTTATTGTTTGCTAACCAAACTTCAGAGGCACTGTAAGCACAAGTACTGTTTACTATAATTACACAGGAACCATACAGAAATTGTCTAAACTTTATAGGGCCTCTATAAAGTTTAGAATCATAGAATATCCCAAGTTGGACGGGATCCATTAGGATCACTGCATCCAACTCCTGGCTCCACAAAAGGACCACCCAAAAATCATACATCTGAGAGCGCTGTTCAAATGCTCCTTGAACTCTGTCAAGTTTGGTGCCATGACCCCATGACTGCTCTGAGGAGGTTTTTCCAGTGCCTGATCACCCCCCAAGTGAAGAACCTTTTCCTGATATCCAGTCTGAACCTCCCCTGATGCAGTTCCATGCCCTTCCCTTGGGTTCTATTGCTGGTCAACAGAGAGTAGATTGATATCAGCCCATCTGCTCCCCTTCATGAGGAAGCTTCATGAGCATGAATGATCTATGACATTATTTTCTGTCCATTTACTATGGTACAACCAATCAGTTGTAGATAGACTATGCTGTAAATTTCACATTTATCCTGCTAGAGATTTATTTCACGCATCATTTCTTGGTTAGGCAATGTGAAGAACAGTATATAGAAAATATTAATTATTATTCTGATGTATCTAGTCAATCTGAACACAGTAATATGCACTTAAATGTTGCCCATCCTTTGGCTGACACTTTACATGACTTTAGTCAACAAAACTAGTGCTTTAGTGCATCACTGAAAGGAACAAGAGAAGGAGCTCTGCAAATGGACGGCATTAGTAAGTATAATTTCATTTGTATACCATCATACAAAAAGGGACATATTAATAGATTTTTTTCAATGATTATTTTACCATGGTACAAAAACCAACAAAGACTGCAAAGAACAAAGCTCATATACTAAAACAAGAATTTTGAAACTCTGTCTACATCCACAGATTTGTCTCTCATCCAGTAAACCACTCTCTTTTTAATGGGCCAGAAAAGAGTCAAGAAGCAAAGCCTTGTGCTTTGCTATTTCACAATTTAAAATTAAAAAAAAGAGCACGAAATGTTTGAGGATGAGATATTTATCTTCATGGGATTTGGCATTAGCCTTTAGAATAAGCTAGATTCCACATCATTCATAGACTAGTAAATCTTATCAACCAGACTGGAACAAGGTACATTTCTTTCAGTTAGGGTATTTTTATTCAATTGATTTCTTTTGCTGGGAGTCAGTTGGAAAAGTCAGTGGGTATTCTCCCCAGACAAAGAATATTCTGAAAGACTGTTTAAGCGTACACAGCAATGTAAACTAAAATGCATGGTTTCTCCTCATTCAAACTGTTATTTTAAAAGAATGTGCACCTTCTTCATGAAAAAGTCACCCCAAATCAGCTATGAACAATTCAAAACTGAGTCCACTTGTACAACAGACACTTGAGATTAAAACTTTTCTGAACAGGTATGTAACACCTAACCAGAACACCCTAAGAAGCACGTGGAAGTAGGTGATCATTACAGTGAACTCTGTAAGGCACAGAATATGATTTTACAATGCTTAGAGGATGTTAATTTCAGAAGGAAGTACCATGATCCTATTATGTCAAGCAATTCTGTTAGAAAGAAAGCCATCAATAGACAAATCCTTTAACTTAGATCTTTGTATGGCAGACGTCAGACTTCAAGCTCTTCTTGAAGTGGTTTAAATGCAAGCCACAGACATTACAGTTTTGTCAGCTCCTTCTTGTCTAAGTTCAAGGTAAAATCATTGCATAGCTTAAATTAGTAAAAATTCATTATCATAGAAAGATAGAATCGCTCAGGTTGGAAAAGACCTTAAAGATCATCGAGTTCAAACAACACCTAACCAAACTATCTTACTTGAGGCAACAGAATGACTCTAAGCATTTGCTACTGTGCTCCTCATATCTCCAAGGTAAGGAAACAGAGGTTATTCAAATCCCTGCCAAATACAGTTCTGATTTAGATTGCTCATGAACATCATTCAAGTTTTGACAAGCCACGTTAAAACACTGCCTTGGCAAAAAACTACCATTTGCTTCCAATATTTTACTACATAGCATCATTGTTCAGTATGCTTTAAAGTCTTAAATACAAAGTCAAGATAACTTACTGTATTGATCCCCAGACCATTAAGCATATATACAACATCCTCTGTGGCCACATTTCCAGTAGCACCTTTTGCATAGGGACAGCCGCCCAAACCTGCAACAGATGAATCCACTACAGCAACTCCCATCTGGAAAATAACAAACACAAAAATGCATCACTATCAGCAAGTATTATTTGTAATTGTTTGTAAGTAGCAGATTATACACATTATTTACCATAGATAAATACACATCTCCACAAATGGAGGCATTCCATTTCTTACAGTTTGTTACAACAGCCTTAGTCCTGACATCTTTATATGTAAAACTCTCCAAACACAGGATGTGGAACAGAGAACTTATGTGTGATTTTGGCAGATAACTGATTGCTGTTTCAGAGCCAACCATAGTTCTGTGGTATCTTTCTCCTTATATCTCCACATTATTTTTAAGCCAGTATCTAGTCTGTAAAGGCTTTCTAATAACTAAACATAATCAATACATTATTCAGATATGTAATCTTAAGTATATGTACAAATCTTTGCAAGTTGGAACTTTTAATATTAGCATCTGATTTATATCATTTATTATTCAATGATTTTGGTACATAAATACTCTAAAATGTGTTTTGCCCTTCCACGAGGAGTGTCAGTAATAGCATTTTCTTTCCTCTAACTTTCTTCTGGTTTCTCTTATTGGAGGCAATGAAATCACCATGTTAACAACTCTTTCAACATTTTCTTAGCTTTTGGTTTAGATGAAGACTGTGATATTTTTACCAAGTTGAACGCTTCGATGTCAGGAAGAATTACTTTGGGGACAACTTTTAAAAAAGTCTGAGTTCAAAATAACTGGGAAAAGAAAAAAAAAAAGCAGTAAAGAGCAGCATCCTGGTGACTCTGACTCTTTCTTTACAATCTTCAGAAGCCTAGAAGAATACACAGTCCCAAGCCCATTAAATTTCACACCCTAGCACAGCACTCTGAAATCTGATTGTTAAATGTTAAGTTGCTTGAAATTACTCATTAGTTTGGGTATCACAGAAGCTCTCTGTAGGTACAGGTTCTGATCTTCTTTTTTAAGGAAACACATGTAGCAGATTAACACAGTGTTAAACTTTCAAATTCAAATTAAGACTTAAAAAATAGTCAACTGTCTTAAATTCATAATTCTCTGATTTGGGCAAGAGTTTGGATTAAGGTTATGTTAGGATGGTTTTCCAACCTACTGATCTCTTTCTCTCTCCTGATCGTCACTCAGGATAGTCACAATAAAAAGCACTAAAAACAATTATTGATTTTCCCCAATAGATAACATTGAATTTCCTAAGGGATAAAGCCTTTCCAGAGAAATTGGTCAGGCAGGGCTAGGAACTCGAGGCTGTAAGTGCCAGCGCTTTGTTCAATTTCTTCTTTTAGTGAACAGATTTTAGAATAAAGCTGAAATGAGGAAGCATTTTTTTTTCTGTTACATGAGGCATGTGATCCTAGTCACTGGGCCTACTTTGCCAGAGAAAGCTCTTTATCTCTCCCCTTGTAGATCAGATACCTTTGGAAGCATTCAAGCTCTAGAGATAATCAAGAGGTAGGCAATGGTATCAGACAGAGAGGTCTTCAGCTCTTCAGACACACTAGCACCTCTCTACCCTAAGCACACTAGTGTGTTCCCTCCCACCAGGGCTACCCACCTACAATTTAGTCAGACATGCACCAGAAGTTTAGACAGATTGATGAGGGTGCACCCAGAAGGAGGACAGGAATTCTTGAACACAGACTTTTACCCCAACCTTGATGCTGAATCCTGAGAAATTCAGAGGTTAAATTATTTCTGTTGTTTACATGTGCAAGTCATTAAGACCAGCTTAGGAGTCTGACTGCAGTACAAGCTGACTTCTGTTGCTCGCATTCATAGAAGTACTTGACCATCCTCATAGGCTAAACTGGGAGCTTGAGTTTCTCCTTCACAGCCACAGATACAACTGCCTGGCAAGGCTGACTAAAGATGAGTTCTGGATGTTGCAATTGTGAAGTCCCCTTTCCGAATATACCCATCAGCTTCACCTTACATGTGGGAGGTTCTGAAATAAACTTCCCTAGGGTTTTGTTGTACTTGCCTCTAAGTTCTAACAGTGCTTTCTATAGTTCTGTCATTGGCCTTTAAATTTGGCTCTTTGAAAATCTGGCAGTTCTGGACAGTAAAAATAAAAGAGGAATCCAATGAAGTGCTGTGCTATGTCCCATTCTAAAAGGGGAAACACTATCTCGAGCTAGGTAGTTGCTAAAAACCTGTAATAAAGACCTCAAATGAGACAAGGAACATAACCATGACAGGCAAGGCAGTAAGTACTGTTTCATATTGCTCACACAATGAGACTTTCTGAGAAGGGATATTGTACTTAAAAGTATACTAATCTGTGAATTATGGAGTGAATCACCGAAGTACACGTTTCACATTTCAGTCACTTGTCACACACTTTGTTTGTGTAACCCACCGGTCAAAAAAACGTGTTATACAACACATCTGTGTCCAATACACAGAGGGTATGCTTTTGTGATAGCTTTCAACTGGCAATTCTGTTTCTTTCACACTAGTTGCTACGATTCATACATTCACTCTGGATGTCACTGCTTCGAGCTCCAAAGTGGCAACTGATGGGCTTGCAAGCATCCCCACAGAATCACAGAATAACGAGGTTGGAAAGGATCTACAAGATCATCTAGTCCAACTGTAAACCACAGCTAAGGTCTGTTACCAGAAAGCTTTCAGGCATACTGAAGGTCTAGGGGAAAAAAAAGAGAGATTACAATATAGATGTGCTGTTTCAATGCAAACATGCATCCTCCAACCATGCTTGCTCTCTCAGTCCGATTTTGAGATTCCCATCAGAAATAAATATTTCCATCAGAAAGGTCTGTTGAGCAGTGAAAAGCTAGAAGAACATGTCCTTTACGGAGTTTCCCCAGCTGCCAGGTTAAGTCTTAACTGCCAGAGAATTCTTCTTGATGCACTTTTTTTGGTTAGACTTTCACAGGGTGATAAAGTTCTAGGTAAATTATGTGCTGAGAGACATCATAGCTGTTAAAAAAAGATCAACAAACTGAGGACTAGCTTTAGTATCATATGAAAAGTCATCTTTTAATTCCAGTGAATTATCTCATGAAACACTTTCCATTGAGCAAACATGGGAGAAATATCAACTAAATTGGTTTTGGTGACAAATTAGCATTTGAATGCACATATGCTTGTACAGATAGCTGCAATGCCACTGTAAAGTTAGATTTGCAGTGCAAGGTCCATATCACTGGAGTATATGTTTACTATTCTTTGTTGGAAGGGTTTGTGAACATATGGAGGGGTACAGGATATCACAGCAACATAAACGAAATACACATCTTTGTCTAAGCAGATCCTAGGATTCTCAGGCAGCCTCACTGGGTCAGTTCAAACTACTTAAACTGTAAAATGGAATGAGCTCCATTTTGCCTATGCAGGCATGAGCTTTCTACTGGCTAAGCAGTGGTAGCAACAATCTCCAGATGACAGATGATTACTGGGAGACAGTCTCACTTAAAGGGCCAACTATTTTGCCTAAACAGAGAAAGAAGGAAGCATATTCACAGTTTTAAATAGTTAACATCCCCAAAACAGCAGCTTTCATGCTAGTTTGGGACACTGAGAAGCGGGATATAAACTTGTCTCTGTATCTGCATTAGGATGGATGTGCCATTTAAACATTCGGCAAGTTGTAGAGAAGGTCTTAACAATGTATATAATACAGCAGTTCTGACTAAATTCAAATCTGATGAATTCAAGTCATTTTTCTTAATATGCAGTGAGTGAGTCTCTGCCTTTAGAATTCTGTTCTTTAAAGTCCTCTTTACAACAGTTCAGAGTGCCTACTGCACCATACTGCTATTTAAGCATCAGGCTCAGCAGCATCCATCTGCTTTTGCATGTGGTACTTCTTTCAGTGATAGGCATCTACAATGTGTTTTCTGATCCATGTGCAGAATCGCTGCAGTTCATCTCCAGTATGGCCCCATTCAAAAAGTACTTAACACATACTCCAAGATCCATTCTAACAGTGCTAAAAACAGATGTTGGAAAACATCCTTCAGCAGCACTACTAACTAATTTGGAGGTTAATATTACAGCACAGCCTGTCCAAGCTCAGAGTCTGAAATAGCACCTAATAAATAACTTCTCTGCAAGTCTGAGCAGCTATGAAGCTATTTTGCTTTTGCAGCCCTTAAAAGCAGAAGGGGCTCTAAAAGGAAAGCAAAAAAACTGATATGAAGTGTAAAATAAGGCCTCATCCTTCATCACATGTACAATATTTGACAGGGTTTTAAAGGAGATAATGAGTTTCAAGCCTTTCAGCAATCTAAGCTTGCAAAACATTCACTGTCAATACGAGATCTTTAAAAAGCCCACAGTCTCATTGTCACTTCCTGACAGGTACTGAGCTGTGCTGAGATTCATGAGACATTGCCCTGCAGCTATTTCGTAGAATGCATCCAAGAGAAGCACTCACTGAGCTTTTTACATAAGGATATATGTGGGTGAACGATGGCTTGTCTTCCAGGACCGCTCAAATGTTCCAATCTTTCTAAAGACCTGTACAGTTTTGATTATCACTAAATTCCTGATAGCAGTTCCTGAAGACCTTCTAAAGTTCAGCTTTGGCTAGTATCAGTTTACTCTCCGTAGAAAGCAGAAAGCTCTTCCCTTCTGTCCCGTGTTAACTTCCTAATTCCCCAAAGAGAGAGCAGGGAATTCAATTCATCACCTTTGTCAAATAGCCAATTTTAACAGGAAACCAATATTGCCAGTGGACAATAAATGCTTCATGTTTCTCAGTTTGCTTTCCTGACTCCCCATAAATTCTTGTTGTGACAGTCAGCCTTCTTCATTACCCATCTTTAAACCTGACTTCACTTGACAGAAATGTGTTTCTCCCTTTCTTAAAAATGGCAAGATCAGCATCAGTAACTTGAGGGGTGCATAAACTGTAATTCAGAAGCAATAACCCAGGTCCGTCATTAAAAAAAAAATTAAACTATGAGATTTTGAAACCATAACATATACCCATTTTTTCTGGCTTCTAACTTTTTTTTTTTTTTTTTTTTTTGTAAATCAATTACATTTA